TGGTGGAACAGCGGTCGTAGCACGCCTACAAAATGCAAATGTACTCCTCCTCTACTCCTTGCTGCCACAGCGACTCCCAGACGTTCTCGGGTTCGACGCTAACAAATGCCTTCTCGTAGTCGATGAAAGTGAGTACAAGCGGCATCTGGTGTTTCCGGCTTATCTCCAGCAGACGGTGGATGGTGCAGCTGTACTTCGGCATATACAAATATTTATAAATTCCACGTTATATTCAGGCCATCACGCCTTCCTCTCTGAGTAAACCAAATTACATAAGAAAGTTCGACGAAAACAATGTGAAATGCGGTATTATCTTTCTTGGCTAGATTAACTCTGACCCTATCCTAAACAAGAGAAATACAAATGTATGTTCTGCGTGTATCACATCTATGAACATTTTGCTTTTTACACTGGTGCCCTAACAGCAACAATGACAACTTTAGAAGAAAGTGGTTAATGCCTCAACAACAGTGTTAACAATTCTGATTTAAGTCAACTCATTTGCAGCGTGCAGTAATCAGTGCATGGATAACATGGTCAAAAGATAAATAAATGCAAGGAATCCATGAGGTTTCAATTTCTGTTAACACTTCAGAAGATACTCATCAGCAACAGACCAAATTCAGCTACATTTACTAAATGGGCCAGGGGAATTCAACTAAAGTCTTCCAAATTTTAGTAAACGTATTGAAGAAATAACTGTAAAAATACACATTTTGGACAATTCAAAAGTACAAATGGCAGCCATATGTAAATCTTAATGATGAGGCCAGAATATGTTGCAGTTATTGAGTTAGGTCAATACCTGAACTGTGATTAATATTTGTTTACTTATAAGACAATATAGAAATGTTGTGAAAATTATATAATCACTTTTCATGTTCCTTGATTTTTTGTAAGAATCTTTTTTACACTAAAAATAAATGTTAACATAAATGAAAACATATACATCTTTGCAAATCAAATGAGTAATACTCAAACTGTTAATAAGTTTACTATAAAAAATTAAAACACTTTCGACTGGAGAAAAAC